CAGGTCTGCTTAGACTGCAAAGAGGAAGATTTGAGCTAGAAATATAGAGGCATAGGAAAACGACAGGAAAGACAAGTCAATCCACTTAGCTGCTACTCAGTTTACATTGCACAAATCTTTCTTACATGGAGGAGAGCGCTGAACAACCTAGGAAGATTGAACTAAATGATGGCACATACATGCCACTACTGGGACTTGGAACATGGAAGCCAGAGGTAGCATTACATTTCTACAATGGCCTCATACTAACTACAAAATCTGGACAGTTTTAACATTTAGATTTACTTGAATAGAGGTATGGGGAACTGTAGGGGCTAGTTGTCACATTGGGAAGTTATATGGAGAACTAAAGTCCGAAGTTTCATTGCAGAAATGCTAGCGGTGATTTTGTATGTTTGTTTCAATGATTGTAATAATAATAGGCTATCTGATAACAGGTTTCTATTGTGACAACTAGCACCACATAGTAGCCCCAATGCACATACTAAAACTTTAACTAAAATTAAAATGAAAACAGAAAACCTAATTGAATATATTACCAAAAACTATAATAGCATCTCAATTATACTAAAATAACACTCTGATATATTATAACTTAATTGCTCTTGTTTCCCTATGTCTTTTGACTGAGACTTGACCATGTCAAGGACAGTGATCTTGTCATCTTTAATAGTGTAATAATGTCATAGCCTTATGCAACAGAAACTAGCAATGCTTTAATCTTTTACTACATGATGAACAGTCCACTTGCCCAGATATGTGTCAGAGGGCAGTTGAGGCAGCGATCGCTGCTGGATATCGGCATATAGACACAGCCTACAGCTACCAGGTTGAGGAAGAGGTGGGGAAGGCCATCCAGTCCATGATGCAGCAGAGCATCATCAGACGCCAAGACATGTTCATAGTCAGTAAAGTGAGTTCAAGTTATGTTGGCGCTCTAAGATTAAATCAATGTGTGCTCATTTAAAAGGAGCAAATCGTCATGCAATAATGATGCTTCTCTTTTCCAGCTGTGGTGTACCCATCATGCCCCTGAAGACATTCCTGTTTGTCTGAATAAATCTCTGAATGACCTTCAGCTTGACAATCTGGACCTATACTTAGTGCACTTTCCAGTAGGTCTGAAGGTAATAAAAGAAAACTAAAATTAATTTAAATGAAAATTATTAGAATTATAAATACAATTATTAGATTTTCAAAATTATTTATAAATGTATATTTATATTTACATGTATTTATAAGAATTTTCCTATATACACAAACGCATGTGTGTGTATATATATATATATATATATATATATATATATATATATATATATATACATATATATACATATATATGTATGTGTGTATACACACACACACGTGTGTGTGTATATATATATATATATATATATATATATATATATATATAGTACTTTACTACTACTACTATAATACTACTAATTATAATTAATAATTATAATAAGAATTGCATTTATTATTAGTAGTAGTAGTAGTAGTATTTTAACCCAGTTATATAAAAAGTATAAAATGTCATTTAAAGTGGTATTTAAGTGCCCAAATACTTTTCTACTATAAATAAATATTAGTATCAACATAATATTTATCAGTCGTCTCCTAAACATAGTTTGCTGGAGAGTTCAGTATTGACACCGTTATCAAAAGCTTTTATGTAGTCTCTGCATCAGTTACTATTTTTAATCTGCGAAATGATTCGTAGATCAAATTCAAGTATATTAATTGTTTGCTACTTTACAATAACTTACAGAAAATGGGAGATGAGCTTTTCCCAGAAAAGGATGGAAAGATCCTTACAACTGACATAGACTATGTCGATGTGTGGAAGGTAATGCTAACCACTAACATTATTAATAATAACAAAATGATGTCTTCAAGGTCTTTAGAGTGTGCTGCCATCTGTTTCAGGGAATGGAAGCTCTGAAAGCCACAGGAAAGGTGAAAAGTATCGGTGTGTCCAACTTCACAATCGAGCAACTGGAGAGATTGCTATCCGTGGCCAAAATCCCACCTGCAGTTAATCAGGTGCATAAACTGGGAATGTCATGTTACCATGATTAGATTTTACATCTGACAAGGTGTAGAACAAATTGGGTTTGAGTAACCTATGAGAGAAATATTTATCTCATAATATTAGCATGAGAAATATTAATAGTTATTTGTATATCTGCAGGTGGAGCTCCATCCTTACTTTGTTCAGTCTGATCTGATTGAGTATTGTAAGTCCAAAAACATTGCTTTAACAGCCTACAGTCCATTTGGCTCACCTGGAAGACCTTCAGAATAGTAAGTTCAAAAGTTCAAGGTCCTTTTCAACTAGAATCAGCTCTTAATCTTATCAAAGCAATGAGAAGGTGGGGAATGAAAGATGAGTTCACCAAAACATTTCTCAAAGAGTATAACCTAAACATCACATGCTATTTTGTACAATTCTTCTACTTCCATTTCCTTGCCTCTGCAGTCAAAGAGGAGAAACGGATCCCATGGTGTTACTGCAGGATGCTGTTGTTGGGGATATCGCCAAAAAGCACAGACGGACCCCTGCACAGGTCACTTTTCTCAGTATTGTGCATCATTTACTTTGCTCATTTCGGGTTTTAATGTTTCATTTGATTGGTCCGCAGGTTCTGTTGCGGTATCACGTTCAGCAGGACATTGTTGTGATTCCGAAAAGCATGAAAGCCCACCACATTTTGGAGAACACCAAGGTAAACTTCTGAATATTCCATATACAGTATTTTTCAATATTACATGTGACCCTGGACCACAAAACTTAAGTCTTAAGGCGCTGGGGTATATTTGTAGCAATAGCCAAAAATACATTGTATGGGTCAAAATGATAGATTTTTCTTTTATGCCAAAAATCATTAGGACATTAAGTAAAGATCATGTTCCATGAAGATATTTTGTAAATTTCCTACCGTAAATATATCAACTTAATTTTTGATTAGTAAAATGCATTGCTAAGAACTTCATTTGGACAACTTTAAAGGCGATTTTCTCAATATTTGGATTTTCTTAGCACCCTCAGATTCTAGATTTTCAAATAGTTGTATCTCGGCCAAATATTGTCCTATCCTAACAAACCATACATCAATGAAAGCTTATTTATTCAGCTTTCAGATGATGTATAAATCTCAATTTTGAAAAGTTGACGCTTATGACTGGTTTTTTTCCTCCTAATGATGTCAGCTGTTATCTTGTGGTTTCATCCTGGTATATTCAAAAGCAAAATATGAAATGGATAGCTTACCCAAAAGTGAAAATTCTGTCATCATTTACTCACCATCCACTTGTTCCAAAGCTGTATGAGTTTCTTTCTTCTGTTGAACACAAAAGAATATAATTTGAAGAATGTTGGGAACCAAACAGTAGCCATTGACTTCCACTGTAACTTTTTTTCATAATATGGAAGTCAGAGGTTACCATCAAATGTTTTGAGTAAATGAAGACAGAATCTTCATTTTTGGGTGAACTATCTCTTTAATTGACAAACAGTAGGCCTAATACACATTTTCCTGTCACATTTTGATCAAGATGAGAATTTCTTTTAGATACTGTAACTACTAACTACTTAATTATGGGTGCAGATCTTTGATTTCACTCTGGATGAAGAGGATATGAATGCTCTCAGGTCTCTGAATCGAGGCTGGAAGGCCTGCATCATAAAACAGTAAGAGTGTATTTTTAAATCGTATGTAAAACAGCATGAAATAGGCAACAATACACGCTTTAAACAGTAGATGCTACATTGTTGTTATATGATATTAACAGCGTTACATGTTTATAGTTTATTATTAATATTTTGACTTTATGTATAAATGTCTTAACTTGTGACCATGAGAAATCAAGAAGGAGATATTAAAATGCAGCGGATAGTCCTTGCAATCCATTTGGAAATGGAAGGTCTTATTAAATGCATTGCGGTATACAATATGGCATGCATGCCGCATTTTGGCAAAAGCAGTGTATAATGAGGGTATTTTGTTCATAATGTGAACAATATACTAACTACATACTGCTAGCAGTTAACTGGATGGTGTTGTTGCTCCTCAGATTGGAATCGCATCCCTTCTACCCCTTCAAGTGAAATGCTGTTAGCCTTGGATGACCAAGAACCCACCTAGTAAAAAAATGACCAAGCCCTTCTGGAGGCTAGAGTAAATAAGACAATTTTTCGATTGTTAGGTTCAGCCATTCATATGTGTATAGCTAAACTGAGACCGTTTAAGGCACTGGGAAAAAAATATTTTTGAGAAACGCTAACAGATGTCATTATTGTAACTTCATTTGGTTTAAATAAAGCATTAAGGCATACACTACTGTTTAAAGGTTTTGAGGAACCTTCTTTTTCTTTTTGAAAGAAGTCTCTTATGATCACCAAGGCTTCATTTATTTGATCAAAAATACAGTAATATTGTGAAATATTATTACAATTTAAAAGAACTGTTTTCTAATAGAATATATTTGGAAATGTAATTTATTCTTGTGATGGCAAAGCTGATTCTTCAGCAGCCATAACGGCACTCTTCAGTGTCACATGATCCTTTAGAAATCATTCAATCAATATGCCATTTCGGTGCTCAAGAAACATTTTTATTCAAATATTAAAGGAAACAGTTGTGCCGTTTAATATGTTTTTGTGGAATTTGCATTTATTTTTAAATAGAATTATTTTGTATGTATCTATGTAAATGTCTTTACTGACACTTCTGTCTATGCTAAATAAAAGTATTAATTTTATTTAAATAATAACCTTACTGGTCCCAAATGTGTGAATGGTATTGTAATTTACAAAATCAAAACTGAAACACAAAACACTGCAAAAACTCATGTAAAATGTTCACTTCAGAATGTTTTAATTGTTACTCAGAAGAAGCACTAAGCCACCAGGACATCTTCGAAAACTCCAAAAACGTTTGTAACAAAAACTACAATATTAATGTGTGCTTTTCACCTTCAATTCATAGTCTAACATCTCACAGTATCTCCTGCTGACCTCTTTTCAAAAGGATCTGAGAAGCAGCCAATGGCATTAGGCTTATGACAACCTATATTCAGAAAGTCAATTCTCTCATAGAAGTGTTCTTCAGATCCCCGGACAATCATCTGTGTTGCTCTTGGCTGGAATTCTGTTTGTCTCTCTCTGTGTGTCCTGATGTATGACCCTCTATACTATTGGTTTGCTGCGGTCTGACAAGGCACACACACGCTGAGGCTCCAGCAATGGTATATATATATATATATATATATATATATGTACATGTGTGTGTGTGTTTCTATAGTTTTGATTAATTTTTATACTTCAGTTTCGGTGTTAGTTTATTACACCAAGTTAAACTAAATTAAAATGAGAAATGTTGCCTTTGTAAGTAGCTGAAGTTTTTAATGTTTTATTTTATTTCAGTTAACATTTATTTAATTTCATTTTTTATGGTTTTTATTTAAGTTTTAGTTAAAATTTTAACTCAAATTTTAGTTAACTATTATAACTATGTCAGGAGTGAAGTGAATTACCTTAATCCACAAGTTGCTTCGGGGGTCATATCGGTACAGCAAGTTGCTTGCAGAATCTCCCCCGTTGTCCCGTGAGGAGCTCCCACCTGCGGTGAAGATAAATCCCCCCAAAACAGCAACACAGTGGTGACTCCTCTGAGCTGGCAGCAGAGTCTCGACGACCCACTTCCCTTCTTCTTCATCCAGCCAGCACACCTCAGCACTCAACTCCTCTCCACGTTCAGACACCTCCCCTCCCACCAACAGCAGACGCTCCACACCTCCTCGAAGGCATGTGCGTGTTGTCTGCAGTACAGGTTGGGCGCTGACTCTCGTGTGGTAGCCCACAGCCTCCTCCACTAGCGCCTCACATCCTGTGTCTGGAGGCAGCAGGGAACGTATGGCCGGCAATACACGCCCTATGAGGTCATCCGGTGGAATGAGAGCAAAACGAATGTTGGAGAGGAGCTCCTGGGCAAACGCAAGACGTTCGGGTCTTTGACTCAACCACTGCACGGCGACCTGCAGAAGAGCTTGCTCGTTCTCGTGCTGCACCTGCTCATCTGCAAGGTAAGCACAAAGCTTGGGCATCCGCACATCTTGGAGGAACTCGGATGTGTTGGACAGCGTGGCAAAATGCTCCAGAATGAAGCAGTCTATGAAGGCGTCCAGCCGGTCCAGGCTGTAGAGGAAGGCAAGCTCCTGCAGGTACAAGTAACTGTCCTCACGTACCTCTTTTTCCAGGTACTGACAACAGAAATCCACAGCTTGCCACACCTGCAGCAAGTGAGCGGTTTCCAGGACGTAGTCGATGTTTCCACCATCTAGAGGTAACTCGCCACTGTACAGGAAGTCTACTACTGCTTTAACTCCAACATACGAGGCTCCCACAAGCTCTACTTCTGCCTCATGCTCCTCTCGCATCCCCAAGGTGAACATCGCCTGGAAGTAGGGACTGGATACTGCAAGCAAAGCCCGATGTGCAGGGATCCGCTGGTCATCGGCCACCAGAACGACATCACACAGCCGGCCATGCTGTCTTTGCTCATTTAAACCTTGAAGAATGTAGTTAGCCTGGTCTGCCCATCGATACACCTGTTGTACATGAGAGTTAGTCAATGCATGATAGTTTCAAGACACTTGATTCAGACTTTTAAAAAGGTACTATAGATATTAAATGTGCAGTGTTTTTTTTTTTTAATTATCCAGTTGCACCAGTGGTTTTGAACTTTATACTGACACCTATCAGCCAGGGTGCATGAGGTTTGTTAGCTGGTCATGTGATGAGAACATGGTGGCGTGACCCACTCCATGCAGAATAAAATGTTAAGCAGACCGATATAACTGGATTCTTCATCTCATGTGAGCGTGCACAATTTTAATCTGTTAAAAGTTCTGTTCATTTATTATTTATTATGAAACTTTTTTTAATTAGTAAAACTGACTGTACCTTTAAATTAATGTAAAATTTTAAAAAAAATTTGTTAATAATGCAGTTAATCAGTATGTAACAAATGTTAATATTATATAATGAATTAAAATTATTATTATTTATAAATAATACAGGTTTACGTATCAATGCTATTTTAGTATTATTTATATAGTATTGTAGTATGTATTAATGGCCTTTATTTTAATATTTTACGTTTTAGTAATTTTTCATGTGCTTTAGTAATTCGTTTTGATTGGGGGGATCAAGTTTCTGTATAGCTATAATTTATTTTTATTTCAGCTTCAGTTTTTTTTATAGTTGTTAAAAGTTTTTTTTTTAGCTAATAATCAATTTAAATTTTATTTTAGCTTTATTTCAATTATCGAAAATCGTTAACTATTTTACTTAACAACAACACTGTTATGCATACCTTTGAAGATTCACTTATTCTGTGAAGACGTGAAAGACGATATTGCTTCCCACTATCCATTGTGTCGTCTGCCATAAGACTATCTGCAAAATCATAATCATAATTAATAATCGGAAGTAATTAAAAGTAACCATATATAATAAACATTTATATTACGTTCAAAACAGGAACAGACAGAGCAGAAAGTCAGAAGCTGAGTACAAAAGGAAAGGGGCATTTACACAATCGTGACTAGGTTTCATTGATATTCAATATAATTGGACATATTTATCGATACAGCTGTGACATCAACCGCATAGTAAAATGCAGATATCATTTTACCATTTTTCCATTCTTTGTCCGTATTACTAATTAAATGCCCGTAAGTGACTATTAACAAGTAATTTTGACCGTGGCACAGTGAAGCTGAGTTCTCACTTCCGTGTTGCGCTTCATTTCAAAATAAAGGTCACTTTTGTGCTCAAGTTCGCTCAAAACAAATCAGACTGTAGCATAAGCATGATGATGATGACAATAATAATAAAAGGAAGGTACTAGCTTTGTAATTATGTTGGCTTGACAAAGCCAGTATACAGATCTACTATTAAAGCTTGTTCCGATTCTTTTTCTGAGACCAAATTTCATTAAAGCTTTAAAGCAATGACCACCAAACTTGACACAAACCTTGCGGCTGTTCTGATTAGGTATTTATATCTTTTCTGACTGGCCATTCAAACTTCAACTGTCAAAAACTCAAATGTAAACAAACAGAAGCCATTTTAACCCATTTAAGCTTAAGTTAAATCTATCTATCTAGTATATTTTAACTTTTTATGCTAATATGTGATAATATTGTTCTGAAATTCATTTATGCTATACTGAAGATTTTAATAATGAGAATTTGAGGGGAAGGTATGTGCTTCTTTATTCAAAATAAAATGATTTATTTCATTTTAGGGTGAAATTTTATATTTCTTGGTGGGATTCACATATGGTATATTGAGGACGAAACCTGCAAAAACAATAAATAAATGTGTGCATAAATACATGTATTCTTGTTTAAATACATAAATAAATAATTATTCATGTGATGAAAGTAGGCAAATAAATAATATAAATTGATGGGCAAATGGAAAATGTTTAAGGAAATGCTAAACTCATCCTAACTATTTTCCTTTGATCACTCATTTATTTCTGAATGTAGTTCCACATTTTTTTTGCTCTGCACAACATGCTAATGAAAGGGTGTCAATTATACAAGATTAGGCGGATTGTGTGTGACGGGCTTGAGCGTTGCCTGCGCATGCGAATTAAAGGGGTCATATGATGCGATTTCAAGTTTTCCTTTCTCTTTGGAGTGTTACAAGCTGATTGTGCATAGATAAGATCCCTGAAGTTGCAAAGACTAAAGTCTCAAAACCAAAGAGATATTCTTTATCAAAGTTAAGACTCTGCCACGCCCCCCTAAAATGGCTCGTTCTAACACGCCCCCCACATATCTATGTCACTATATGGAAATATTTGCATAATGCGCCCAAATGTGCACGCAATGAAAGAAGGCGTGGTTTCAGTAACCGCAGTTAGTGTTGAAGCAGCCATGTCAGGGAGATGCGCATGCGTATTAACTTCATCAGTCAAGGGGACTGATTATTATCTTACACTTTTTCATAGGGTTAGTTTTGTAGTTATAATCATGAGAGAGCTAAATCATAAAAGATTTTAAGTGGCCAATGTAAAATATTAATGCTTACATAGCTCTTAATTGCAATACTGAACCGTTATTTGCTTAATAAACATACTTTTGTCGCCTGTATTTTCTGTTCTGATAACTAATGGGAAAAAACATCTCACGATGACCATGCGATACTGATATTACAGTTGTCTCTAGCTGGAGACTCAATCGGGTTACAAAAATGACGTCAGGAAACGACACAGGCCATTTCTTTGGGTCGTTTGTAAAGTCACAGATACTGTACGGACAATACAGCTCAGTTTTTTATGTATCTTGCTCTGTTGAACGGAAAAAGTGACTTTACGTAGGCCATACTGGATTAACATCATGCATTTCCTGTCAGCGGGAAAGCCGCACCCCCAGCTATGACATGACCCCGACCAAGTCCATGGTTGACACCTTCTCAGTAGCATGTTGTGCACAGGAAAAATAAATGTGGAACTACATTCAGAAATAAATGAGTGATCAAAGGAAAATAAATAGGATGAGTTTAGCTTTTCCTTAAACATTTTCCATTTGCCCACCAATTTATTTTATTTATTTGCCTACCTTAATCACGTTTAATTATTTCTATATGTATTTAAACAAGAATTTGTGTATTTATACAGACATTTATTTAGTTATTTGCATATTTATTTATTTATTGTATTTGCAGGTTTCGTCCACCATAATGGTAGGCCTGATTCTCGTCTGTAATCCAAATATTACAGAAAAGAGCGACACATTGTTCTCAACCCAGGTCCACAAGATGGCAGAGTAACTCAGACCAACTGTTAGATGACCGAACAGAACTGGGTGGATTTAATGTAGCTCAATACTCAAGTTGGCCATTAGGAGGAGGTGAAACCGGCGCGAGCCCCCCGATTCACTGGCACAGCAACCTGACAAACAAATATCACTAACGCCCATTAAGAGGCAATAGGAAATGAATCGAGTCGTTAAATTAGTTGCCTCTCCATCCCACTGAGAGAAGAGACCTCCCTGCTACACCAGCAGACCTCTGTCGCACTTTGGGATTTATCCGCATTTTCTCTCATTCCCCCGGCTTTGTTCTGAATTTAGATACGTTATCTCCCTTTGTATCGTCGAAATGGCAACGCGAATTGACAAAGAGGCTTGCAGAGAAGCATACAATCTGGTGCGAGACGACAGCTCAGATATATCCTGGTGAGTGAAGCCTTGATTTACTTCACATCCAGAGATGCGCTGTTTGGCGCGTGCTGGCGGAGCTCGCTACGTTGTTTCAACAATTAAGAGTCTTTCAAATGTGAAACATTAAACGCTGTTTTAATTGACTCGTTGAAAGTGTGTGGTGCAACATGTAGGGATGGGTCTTGTAACACGGGGGAAGTGTGTCAAAATCGAGTTGGCCGCTTACCTAGGCAGCATTTTGGCCAAAAATGGCTATGTAGCCTGCTCGCTAGATTTTGAGACACCTCCGGTATTATGGCAACATTTAAAATGTCAATTTTGCTATTTAAAGGGCATCTTTTAAGTATGATGGATCTACCATTGTACCAGCTGGTCACGGGTCCGAGTACGAAGAATTCAAGAGTCAGTGTACAGGTGAGTCCATTCTCAGCGAGTTACCTTCTTTTTGACTTGAATGTATTTTTGTAAAGCAGTTAAATAAATCAAGTGTTAAAGGGAAAATTCACCCCCCAAAAATGAAAGGTATTTCATTTATTCACCACAAAATTATGACTTCAATGAGACTGACAGACTCGCAAAAGTAAATGGTGAATGAGGCATTACAGGCTCTAACCTAACTTGGAGTACATATACATTGTGAGTAAATGATGACAGAACTTTCATTTTTTTGGGGGGGTGCTCTGTCCCTTTAAGTTCTACACCACATCACTAGGAAGTAGGATAATTCATCTTCCAAGGTAGACAATACCAAATATGGTTTCATAGATGACATGAGGGCGAGCAACTGGTGGGAAATTTGATGAGAGGGTTTTAGTAAATATAAACACATTTGTATTTGTGATCAACCAGAAGTCATTGAATTCAACTTAATATCTATTTTAATATACAGTATATGTGGTTTTGGGGATCAGTTGAGCTACAGTGAATATAATATGCTTTACTATGTGCAGCATATTTTATAACTGTAAATAACTGTCTGGCTCCACTGAGAGAATGAAATTGTCATTTTTCGCCTCCCATTCTGTCCATCCTAATTGAACATAGATTTGGGCGTGGTGCTCAGTTCAGTCTCCATGAGTAGATTGTGCAGCCACTGGCAGATGTAAACTTGTACAAGTGTTGCAATGCCTTGGCTTCCGGCACTGTGCTCTGACAGATGATCAAGGATGCCTTCCTGTATGGAGCAGTATGTTACAATAAGCACTTTTATTGATGGAGAATACTTTAGTCATGAAGTTTACTTGTGAAATATTTATTTATGATTGAAATCCAAACGGAAAAGATGGAATTTGGGCCATAGCCACCCATAAACTGATTCATCCAGCAATAAATATATTTATTTATTATTTTGGTAGGTTTTTGAGTAGTTGGAGAATATTGTCTATGGGCATAGCAATCTCCCTAAAAATGAAAATACAGTAGCAAAATTTCTGTTTTACTAGAGATGTCATGAAGTGTCAGTCAGTAGCTTAATTATTAAAATTGTATTATGTGCTAGAAAATCTCTGACTGAAGACTATGATTTTATATTGCTTTCATTTGTGATCTGCTCCAACTTTGTACTTTTCTGCATAAAACTCAAAATGGGTTTCTCGGTCAGGGACTCAGAATTATAGAGCGGGTCACATTTTTTTCCAGATACATTTTTGCAAACTCTAAAGCTTGTGTTTTAGATGATGTATTATTTGAAATATTTCTTTGTGCTGCATCACCGTAGCCTGGCATCCTGGAAGTACAGTACACATGTAGTCAGCACAAAAATGCTGACTTTGTGGAAGTGAGTTCTTCAGAAATGTGCCGCACGCACACAAGAGGAAGCAGAATTGTGTGGAAGCATTGCCACATCGCGAAAATGTAAATGTGTCACCGTGTTTTCATGCAATCGTAAAATAAGTCAGCACAACTCTCTAATTTTTCCAAGTCCAAGCTTTCCCACTGTTCACTTGACATGTTGACACATAACAAGCACCGCTCACTTCCTAAATGTGGTTTGTTTGAGGTTTCAGTTCTGCTGAAATACAGCAGAGGCCTCTATAATGTGACTTCCATTCATCATCCACTTTGCTCTTGAAACCTTAACAGCCAATGTGCCAAATACAACTGACAGTATTACCCATGGTTCCCTGACTTAGCTTCTTAAACCTTAAGCCCAGTTAATCAACAACAGAAAACCAGATATTATCAGTCTCGAGTAGAGCCAAGGGAATTCACCTGAGCAGTTGTTTTCCAGGAAAGATCACATTTAACCACTAAATTATACACCGTACAAGACGGAACAAGAGTGTGATGCCCTTTGGTTTCTAGCAGGCATTTTTTAACTGTCCTATGTATAATAAAATGTTACTAAGTAAAAAACACACACACATTTTTTTTATTGTATAAGCATGTGTGTGTGTGTGTATATATATTTGGATTTAATATATATGTGTAAGTTTATTGCTATAATTATTAGGGATATAAGAAGTTTTAAAGCTATCTTCACAGATCAATAAAGATCAAAGTGCAAAGGTGTGCACCACTAACATGAATGGTTTAACGAGATTTCTTCCACATAATACTC